GACACACGCACACACACACACACAGACACACACACGCACACACACACACGGACACACGCACACACACACAGACACACACACACAGAGAGAGAGAAACAGTAGGGGTGAGAGAAAGAGATTAGATGTGAAGAGCATGGGAAATAATAGAGAAGATGAAACAAGGAGGGAGGAGGGGAAATGAAAAGAGAGGAAGCAAGGCAGTAGTAAGGAGGAGGAAAAGACACAAAAGAGGAGAGAAGTCAAGGAAAGAACACAAGAGGAAACAAGGAGGAAGGAAAGAACATGAGAGGAAACAAGGGGGTAGGAAAGAACAGGGGAGGAAACAAGGGGGGAGGAAAGGAAAGTAGGGAGGGTGATGAAAAGGAAAAAAGAAAGAAGAGAGGAGGAAGGAGTGGAATGAGAGGAGTCGAAACTAGGGAGAAAAGGAAACAAGGAGGGATTCAGAATATACAGATATTTACTCAAGTCAGATTTAAAGGCAGGACTTGTCACAGAGTATTTTCGGATGTTTTCGACACTACTTTTGCTTAAAAGATCCACTTCATTCATGTGTTAGTGCTGTAAGGGTGAAATGTTTGACAGGAAATGCTTTCATTTTGAAGTGCAAGGTGTCCTGCTCTCGCTCTTTACCTGTTATGTTTTGAAATGATACGAGTATGTCGAGTGCGTTTTCCCCGTCTTCTACCGATCTTGTTGGAAACTGTTATATTAATATAAAGTAAAAACGTTCTGTTCGGACTCGCTTCGTTCTTCATTCGAAGCTTCTATTATACAACAAGGACATCCCTGTGTGTGTGTGTGTTGTGTGTGTGTTGTGTGTGTGTGTGTGTGTGTGTGTGTGTGTGTGTGTGTGTGTGTGTGTGTGTGTGTGTGTGTGTGTGTGTGTGTGTGTGTGTGTGTGTGTGTGTGTGTGTGTGTGTGTGTGTGTGTGTGTGTGTGTGTGTGTGTGTGTGTGTGTGTGTGTGTGGGGGGGGAGAGTGCTGCCGCAGACCTCCCTCTAATGAGGAGCGAGGTGGAGGGGGGGGGGTCGGATGCCAGAGTGCGGGTTAATCCTGTAATTGGGAGCAAAGGGAGACGGGTTGCCAGGTTGTGATGGCTTCCAGAAGGGAACGTTTAAGAGGGACATCTGTTCCTGCTGCTCTTCCTCTCCTCGTCTTCTTCACACACAAACATGACAGCGAGACCCCCAAAAGAGTCGAGTGTTACACCACCTGCTCCTCGACTGGACAGAAAGACAGGGTCTGGTTGGAGAAACATAACATATTTATATTTAGAGGGTCTCTTAGATTGAAAAGGGTTCATCTTGCCAAGGATTTTGTGTAAATTAAAGCCAGTTTGCAAGTCAGTTATTATCAGCCCAACATGCCATATTTATGATAACTATATTATAAATATACTATAGACTTCACGTCTCCACCGCTAAGCTAAAGGTGGCTAATGTTGGGCTACAAAGGAACTACAGCACGGCCACATGACTTCACGTCTCCACCGCTAAGCTAAAGGTGGCTAATGTTGGGCTATAAAGGAACTACAGCACGGTCACATGACTTCACGTCACCACCGCTAAGCTAAAGGTGGCTAATGTTGGACTATAAAGGAACTACAGCACGGTCACATGACTTCACGTCTCCACCGCTAAGCTAAAGGTGGCTAATGTTAGGCTATAAAGGAACTACAGCACGGTCACATGACTTCACGTCACCACCGCTAAGCTAAAGGTGGCTAATGTTGGGCTATAAAGGAACTACAGCACGGTCACATGACTTCACGTCTCCACCGCTAAGCTAAAGGTGGCTAATGTTGGGCTATAAAGGAACTACAGCACGGTCACATGACTTCACGTCTCCACCGCTAAGCTAAAGGTGGCTAATGTTGGGCTATAAAGGAACTACAGCACGGTCACATGACTTCACGTCTCCACCGCTAAGCTAAAGGTGGCTAATGTTGGGCTATAAAGGAACTACAGCACGGTCACATGACTATTCTATTCCCATAGCACTCAGTAGTAATGATTTTATGTGCTTTTTTAATGATAAAATTGTTACTCTTAGAAACAAAATTAATGACCTCTTGCCTTTGACCAGTATAGTGTTATCAACAGCTCCCGGAAACGTAAGTTATAATATTACACTAGATAGTAAACTAGAATGCTTTTCAGCCATAGACCTTGAACAATTAAATTCAATGATTCTCTCTTCTAAACCATCATCATCATCATCATCGACCCAATTCCAACTAAGCTGTTGAAGGAAGTTTTTCCATTAATTAGCACTTATTTATCAAATATTATGAATATGTCTTTATTATCAGGCTATGTTCCACAATCATTCAAAGTAGCAGTGATAAAACCGCTTCTTAAAAAGCACAACCTCGATCCAGAGGTTTTAGCCAACTATAGACCTATTTCTAATCTTCCGTTCCTCTCAAAAATTCTTGAGAAAGCGGTCGCAAAACAGTTGTGTGATTACTTAAAAAACAATGATTTATTTGAAGCTTTTCAGTCTGGCTTTAGAACACATCATAGCACAGAGACAGCTCTGGTTAAAGTCACAAATGACATTCTAATAGCCTCTGACAAGGGACGTGTCTCTATTCTTGTTTTGCTCGATCTCAGTGCTGCATTTGACCATGATATCTTATTGCAAAGACTAGAGCACTTAGTTGGCATACAGGGAACTGCTTTAGACTGGTTTAGGTCCTATCTATCTGAACGCTCTCAGTTTGTACGTGTCAACGATGAATCTTCCACGCAAACCAAAGTTAGCCATGGAGTGCCACAGGGCTCAGTGCTCGGACCTATTTTGTTCACATTATATATGCTTCCGTTAGGCAATATTATAAGGAATCATTCTGTACATTTTCATTGTTATGCGGATGATACTCAACTATATTTATCAATCAAGCCTGATGAAATTAATCATCTAAATAAAATTCAAGACTGCCTCAAGTACTTAAAAACGTGGATGACCTTAAACTTTTTGATGTTAAACACGACCAAAACTGAAGTTATTGTACTTGGCCCGAAGAATCTACGAAACAAATTATCTAAGGATATACTAACTATGGATGGCATTAATTTGGCCTCCAGTGAGACTGTAAGGAATCTTGGTGTTATATTTGATCAGGATTTATCCTTTAACGCCCACATAAAATCAATTTCAAGGACCGCCTACTTCCATCTACGTAACATTGCAAAAATCAGGCATATCTTGCCTCAAAACGATGCAGAGAAACTAGTCCATGCATTTGTTACTTCAAGGCTGGATTATTGTAACTCTTTATTATCAGGGTGTACCAAGAAGTCAGTCAAGTCGCTTCAGCTGATTCAAAATGCTGCAGCTCGTGTACTAACCAGAGTTAGGAAAAGGGACCACATTACTCCTGTTCTGGCTGCCTTACACTGGCTCCCTATAGAACACAGGATAGAATTTAAAATTCTTCTTCTCGCCTACAAAGCCCTTAATGGGCAGGCGCCATCTTACCTTAAAGAACTCATTATACCCTACTGTCCTACTAGGGCATTGCGTTCCAAGAATGCAGGGTTGTTGGTTGTTCCTAGAGTCTCTAAAAGTACAATGGGAGCCAGAGCCTTTTCTTATCAAGCTCCACATTTGTGGAATCAGCTTCCAGTTTGTGTTCGGGCGGCAGACACCCTATCCGTTTTTAAGAGTGCGCTTCAGACCTTCCTTTTTGATAAAGCTTATAGTTAGGGCTGATTAGATTCAGCCCCTAGTTTTGCTGATATAGGCTTAGTTTGTCGGGGGACATCTTACTTCTTCCTTCTCTCTGTCTATACCTGTGTACTCTCATGTTCCGATTAACCCAGCTTCCCCAAATGTCTTTCTTTTTGGTGTCTGTATACGCCGGGATCCGGAGTCATGGATGATCCTGCGCTCCTCTGTCCTGGATCTTGAGTCGTGGCTGTGGTCCTGGATCATAGGTCCTGGATGGATATCCTCGTGGATTCATCTTCCTATTATACACACATGCATTTCCAAACATTTGGACTACCTATGTTGCAAATGTATTATCTTTTCAATTTACACACGGCATCTATTGCACGTCTGTCCGTCCTGGGAGAGGGATCCCTCCTCTGTTGCTCTCCCTGAGGTTTCTCCCATTTTTCCCTTTAAACTGTGGGTTTTCTTCGGAAGTTTTTCCTTGTACGATGTGAGGGTCTAAGGACAGAGGGTGTCGTATTGTCATACTGATATTTTGTACAAACTGTAAAGTCCACTGAGACAAATGTAACATTTGTGATATTGGGCTATATAAATAAACATTGATTGATTGATTGATGACTTCACGTCACCACCGCTAAGCTAAAGGTGGCTAATGTTGGGCTATAAAGGAACTACAGCACGGTCACATGACTTCACGTCACCACCGCTAAGCTAAAGGTGGCTAATGTTGGGCTATAAAGGAACTACAGCACGGTCACATGACTTCACGTCACCACCGCTAAGCTAAAGGTGGCTAATGTTGGGCTATAAAGGAACTACAGCACGGTCACATGACTTCACGTCACCACCGCTAAGCTAAAGGTGGCTAATGTTGGGCTATAAAGGAACTACAGCACGGTCACATGACTTCACGTCACCACCGCTAAGCTAAAGGTGGCTAATGTTGGACGTGATGACGTTTAGTCGTCTCCTTTAGACACTTGTTAGCAACCGCCGTTTTTAAATTCACCAGTGGGGTATTTACTGATGTATTTTATGTCTTAGAACAAAAATGTTAAGATCTCTTCAACTTGTGTTAACCTCAGACCTCATATCAGGATAACAACAACAACACACACTAAAACGATTAGCTTCCAGACAAGGGGACAGGAAGTGATAAAATGCTGACTCATTTCAGTGTTTGAGGACTCACTCCTGCACCACCTATTGACTACATGAATACAATATCATCATGCATCATGGTCCAGCGAAGGACTACCTCCGATAGATACTCTTCCCTGTTGTTATCCCCCCTCTTCTCCTGTGTGTGTGCTTCAGGATACGCCATCTTGCAGTCCATCATGGAGAAGGCGGGACAAAACAACTGGCAGGTCAGCGCCATCTGCGTGGAAAGCTTCAACGACGCGAGTTACCGCCGGCTGCTGGAGGATCTGGACCGGAGGCAGGAGAAGAAGTTTGTGATCGACCTCGAGGCCGAGCGGCTGCAGAACATGCTGGAACAGGTGAAGCTACCTTAACACTGCATTTAGATTTGAGCGTTTGGGTATTTTAACAGGTTTGAAAGTGGATTTGTGTTTCAGGGATCATCACTTTGCTTTACCTCCAAATCAACTTCATTCAGGCCGTGATGGACAATTACACATTCCTTTTGTTACTTCAAGTATATTTAGATTCTTATACTTTCTGATGTTTTTGTCACCACTGTTGCTTAAAAAATCCACTTGCATTCATGTGTGTGTGTGTGTGTGTGTGGGTCTGTGTGGGTGGGTCCGTGTGTGTGTGGGTGGGTCCGTGTATTTGTGTGTTTGTCCATGTGTGTGTCCATGTGTGTGTGTGTGTGGGTGGGTCCGTGTGTGTGTCCGTGTGTGTGTGGGTGGGTCCGTGTGCGTGTATTTGTGTGTTTGTCCATGTGTGTGTGTGTGTGGGTGGGTCCGTGTGTGTGTCCGTGTGTGTGTGGGTGGGTCCGTGTGTGTGTCCGTGTGTGTGTGGGTGGGTCCGTGTGCGTGTATTTGTCCATGTGTGTGTGTGTGTCTGTGTGTGTGTGTGCGTGTGCGCGCGTGTGTGTGTGTGTTTGAAATGAGTGAAAGTAATGGAATTACTTTGGTAGTAATTCCAGTAAACTGCTCTTTCAATTAGTTTCATTAAAGCATCTGCAGATCAAACTGTGAGCTGATATTTTAATGATCACATTATTAAATATATGTATCCTGAATGGGAATAATGAGTCCTACTGATCCTACACACACCTACACACACCTACACACACATCCAAAGAATCGCCATTAGTTCTTTTTTCCAAACCGTGCAGCTACTGAACAGAAATGTTTTGCTCGTTAGAAAGTGTAAACAGTCTGTCCTGATCTCCGGTGCAGCCATTTGGCACAAACACACTCAGAATGTGATGTTTCTTCCTCCTCCTCCTCATCCTCCTGTTTCCTCGGGGCGACGGGTGTCTCTGTAAATGTTCAATTATTCAGCAAATCTCCTCGCTGACATCTGTCACAGTTACTTCCTTCTTTGCAGATGTGAGTCTTTCTGCTCCTCCCTGCGACAGAATATTCGTATTTATTTATATATATTTTAAAGCACACAACAGATGAGAGCTGTGCGACATTACAGCAATCAGTACGAGTACAACGTGGATAAATCACAGCTCCAGTTCACAGTGAAACGGGTGAGGCGGAAAGATGTTTAAAATAGTCTCCATGTCCCCAGTATGTATCCTTCGTATCCTTCCCTAGTCACCAGTCTCCCTAGATGAAAGGTGTTTCCTCCATAGGAAGCCATGCAGGGACACGGTGGTGGAACTTCTTCAAAAATAAATCAGGTCCACCTGCTGCATTTAAACATGATATTGTAAAATGAATGTAGCCTCAATAAATGCAGGCAGGTACGTCTTCCTATAATATACTGATCTCTGTTTCACTGGAATAAATATCTTCCCTTTGTATCATCATTTATGCCCAAAATGACATTCTTTATAAACCCTTTAATACGGCTAAAGAACCATTTTTGAGGATTTGATGCACAAATTAAATACATGTAAAAGTAGAAGTACTCAGATCTTGAGTAAAAGTAGAAGTACTCAGATCTTGAGTAAAAGTAGAAGTACTCAGATCTTGTACTTAAGTAAAAGTAGAAGTGCTCAGATCTTGAGTAAAAGTAGAAGTACTCAGATCTTGAGTAAAAGTAGAAGTACTCAGATCTTGAGTAAAAGTAGAAGTACTCAGATCTTGTACTTGAGTAAAAGTAGAAGTACTCAGATCTTGTACTTGAGTAAAAGTAGAAGTGCTCAGATCTTGAGTAAAAGTAGAAGTACTCAGATCTTGAGTAAAAGTAGAAGTACTCAGATCTTGTACTTGAGTAAAAGTAGAAGTGCTCAGATCTTGAGTAAAAGTAGAAGTACTCAGATATTGTACTTGAGTAAAAGTAGAAGTACTCAGGTCTTGAGTAAAAATAGAAGTACTCAGATCTTGAGTAAAAATAGAAGTACTCAGGTCTTGTACTTGAGTAAAAGTAGAAGTACTCAGATATTGTACTTGAGTAAAAGCAGAAGTACTCAGATCTTGTACTTGAGTAAAAATAGAAGTACTCTGATCTTGAGTAAAAGTAGAAGTATTCAGATCTTGAGTAAAAGTAGAAGTACTCAGATCTTGAGTAAAAGTAGAAGTACTCAGATCTTGTACTTGAGTAAAAGTAGAAGTACTCAGATTTTGTTCTTGAGTAAAAGTAGAAGTACTCAGAACTTGAGTAAAAGTAGAAGTGCTCAGATCTTGAGTAAAAATAGAAGTACTCAGATCTTGAGTAAAAGTAGAAGTACTCAGATCTTGTACTTGAGTAAAAGTAGAAGTACTCAGATCTTGTACTTGAGTAAAAGTAGAAGTGCTCAGATCTTGAGTAAAAGTAGAAGTACTCAGATCTTGAGTAAAAGTAGAAGTGCTCAGATCTTGAGTAAAAGTAGAAGTACTCAGGTCTTGAGTAAAAATAGAAGTACTCAGATCTTGAGTAAAAATAGAAGTACTCAGGTCTTGTACTTGAGTAAAAGTAGAAGTACTCAGATATTGTACTTGAGTAAAAGCAGAAGTACTCAGATCTTGTACTTGAGTAAAAGTAGAAGTACTCAGATCTTGAATAAAAGTGGAAGTACTCAGATCTTGTACTTGAGTAAAAGTAGAAGTACTCTGATCTTGAGTAAAAGTAGAAGTACTCAGATCTTGAGTAAAAGTAGAAGTACTCAGGTCTTGAGCAAAAATAGAAGTACTCAGATCTTGAGTAAAAATAGAAGTACTCAGATCTTGAGTAAAAGTAGAAGTACTCAGATCTTGTACTTGAGTGAAAGTAGAAGTACTCAGATCTTGTTCTTGAGTAAAAGTAGAAGTACTCAGATCTTGTACTTGAGTAAAAGTAGAAGTACTCAGATCTTGAGTGAAAGTAGAAGTGCTCAGATCTTGAGTAAAAGTAGAAGTGCTCAGATCTTGAGTAAAAGTAGAAGTACTCAGATCTTGTTCTTGAGTAAAAGTAGAAGTACTCAGATCTTGTACTTGAGTAAAAATAGAAGTACTCAGATCTTGAGTAAAAATAGAAGTACTCAGGTCTTGTACTTGAGTAAAAGTAGAAGTACTCAGATATTGTACTTGAGTAAAAGCAGAAGTACTCAGATCTTGTACTTGAGTAAAAGTAGAAGTACTCAGATCTTGAATAAAAGTGGAAGTACTCAGATCTTGTACTTGAGTAAAAGTAGAAGTACTCTGATCTTGAGTAAAAGTAGAAGTACTCAGATCTTGAGTAAAAGTAGAAGTACTCAGGTCTTGAGCAAAAATAGAAGTACTCAGATCTTGAGTAAAAATAGAAGTACTCAGATCTTGTACTTGAGTGAAAGTAGAAGTACTCAGATCTTGTTCTTGAGTAAAAGTAGAAGTACTCAGATCTTGTACTTGAGTAAAAGTAGAAGTACTCAGATCTTGAGTGAAAGTAGAAGTGCTCAGATCTTGAGTAAAAGTAGAAGTGCTCAGATCTTGAGTAAAAGTAGAAGTACTCAGATCTTGTTCTTGAGTAAAAGTAGAAGTACTCAGATCTTGTACTTGAGTAAAAGTAGAAGTACCAGAGTGTAGGAATACTCTGTTACAGTAAAAGTCCTGTATTCAAAATGTTCCTCAAGTGAAAGTAGAAAAGTATTCTCATCAAAATATAGTGAAAGTAGCGACAGTGAAAGTAGTCGTTGTGCAGATTGGTCCATTTCAGAATAATATATATGATATGTTTGATAATGATTGCATGATGTTACAAAGAGCCATTTGGAGGTTCCTACGATTACAGTGTTAGTTAAAACCTAAAAAGAGCATCTAGTGTTTGTTGTAAAGGATCGGATGCTCTCTCTTCTCTGTCAGCTGTTCCGTAGGATAATACTTTAAGGGCGAATCTATAAACCTGCTGCCTGAATCTGCTTTATGAAAGACAGCTGCTCCTATATGTTAATGTACAGACTACATGTAACCCTCCCAACTCCTGCATCTATTTCACCGTGTTTTCATATCTGCATCCTGCCAGCTCCTCCTCTGCAGAGCGAGGGTTTGAATCTGTCATTCGGCCTCATTAGCTGCTTATTTCCAGCCGGTCAGAACATAGCGAGGCTTACGACGAGCCTCCAGATGTTTCTCTGAATGTCAGAGCACGAGATCTGTGAAAACAAACCTGTTTCATTTACAGACGGGAAGCTAATCTGCTGCAGAGTTTAAAGGCACAACGTGAAACTTTTCTGCATTTAAATCAATGTTGTGTTACATTTTTACATATGATAACAACAACGTTCAAACCCTAGAGACATTTTTATCAACTCTAATCAAGAAAACTGTACTTTTTACATCTTCTCTGAGTATTTGTAAGGTTGTCGTTGTCATAAATTGTATTTTTTAACCATTTTAAGCCCAATCTTAGCCAAACTTGGTCTTTTTTCATTTTGAGCAAAGGACTCACATCCCATTCAGCACGTCCTGTAATTATTCACCAATGAAAACATAATGATGCAGTGGCGAGCCGTCAGGGCCCTAGGTCCTCTCAGAGTGCCTAAGATATTCTACAACATAATATATTTTAAAACATTAAAAAAAAAAAAGATATTTTTTAAATATATTTTTCATCAGTTTTACCAAAATAACTTGATTTAATTGCATTTAAAATAACATTTCCAAAGAAATAAATGCTTTGAATCTGCCTATTCAGTTTCTGTTGGAATGTGAAGGGTTAAATGGTGAAGCTAGCAGCTGATTGGACGTCCAGCTGTGAATTCACAGAGGGTTAGTAAATGAACGAGAGAGTAATGTCAAATGACAGTACAATTGACCAATCATATCTTCCCTCTAAATGGGTGGGTTTTATTATCGCGGACTTTATGACAAGTTCCGCCCGCTGTGAAGCTTTTCTTGTTTCCATAGCAACAACAACTTCCTGTCAACAGCGTAAACTCGCCTTCAAAATAAAAACATGCCAAATTACACTTAAGACATACAACTGCAACGAAAGTAACAAACACAATGCAATATCCTTTTCAACTTCAAAGAACACCAATTGGGTTTACAGGTGTTGTTTTGTGTGGTGGAGGGTCGCTTTCATTGATGCGTTTTGCACCCCGGGCCGGCGTTTTGATATTCCGCTGAAGTCTACGCTGTGACGTAATAACTCGAGGGAAGGGGTGGGGGTCAGAGGGCCTAGGTATAAAAGTCACGGCTGGCCACTGTAATTATGAATATATTATATTCCATTTCGGCCAATAAATCCCCTGTAACCTTACAAAAAAATTGGCTTTTAAAATGAATGTCCGAGAAGTTTAAAAGCACTAAATGTCCCCAAATATATCAGCAATGTTAATGTTAAAGCTCTCGTACCTGAATAAACACTAAAGTCAGATCTGTAGCGTTACATTGAATGTCATCATTAACATAAAGGCTTCAGCAGCTGAAGGTTAAATATGAACGTCTTGTCCTGTTTTACAAAGATCACTGGCATTAATACATCCGCTGATTATCATCTCTTATGCATAAAATGACCTTCTGGATAAACCATTCAACATTTTTAGACCTTATTTCAAGCAAACAACGAAAACACACCAAAAAAAAACCCATTGACTTCCAGATGAAGGACAGGAAGTGCTAAAATTATTACAAATGTTTAAGTTTAGGACTCATTCCTGCACCACTCTAGACTAATAGATGTTACACGTCTCAGTAGTGTGTTATTGTTATAATTGTGATACAGATCAATATAATGTGACTGTGTTTGATTTGAAATCTTGCATATCGCAGCTGTGTGTTCATCTTAATTCACGCCCGCATTAACCGGACGTCCAGTAGGGTTTCCAGCAGATGTCAGCTTTCAAAATCAGTTTTTATCAGCAAGTTGCAGCTCTTTGTGTGTGTGTGTGTGTGTGTGTGTGAGTGTGTGTGTGTGTGTGTGTGTGTGTGTGTGTGTGTGTGTGTGTGTGTGTGTGTGTGTGTGTGTTGCGTAGGGGTGTCGAGAAGCATTGGCACATCTCTGAAAGCGTGAAGTGTTTGTTTCCTCTGTGACACGCCGGCTTGTTCATTTGTTTAGACGTCCGATCTTCCATGGATTAAACAACACACACACACACACACACACACACACACACACACGCCTGTCACACGCATCGTTTACTGTAATTAACGTATGCTTGGCTGTAATCCACTCACATTAACGTTGAGTTGTGCTTCGCTTCCTGCAGATCGTCAGCGTGGGGAAACATGTCAAAGGCTACCATTACATCATGGCCAACCTGGTGAGCAGTTCCTTCATTTGTCTGTAGCTTCATTTCTTTCCTGTATTTCTCTCTGTATTTCCAACATTTGGTTCACTCCCAAATGTTCCTGTGCTTTCTGTGTTTATTGTCCAACTGTGTCAAGATGTAAAGGCTGTATTGTCATGTGTAAGATAGCTACAGCATATTTAGGCAATTAAAGGAATAATAATTAAATAAATAAATATCTTGGCAATAATAATAATAATATATAAAATGAATAGTAACACTTGTAAAATAAATACAAAATTGATAATAATAATACAAATAATAATAATTGTTCTGAAACCAGAGCCCAGTCTACTCTGATTGGTTGCTGGCCGGCTCTGTTGTGATTAGTCAACCTCTTAGGCTAAAGGGGTGGGCCACCCCTTTAGCCTATCACGTGCAATGTGTAGGAGTGCTAGCCAATAGGAGCGTGCGTGTTCCGTAGTGATGTCACTGTATTACAGAAGTAAACAAAAGTGTCCAATTAATGTGTCTTTATGTCTTTTTCAATATATGCTACTTTATACTTCTACTCCACTGCATTTCAGAAGCTAATATTGTACTTTTAACTCCACTACATTTATCCGACAGCTTTTTACATATTCAGATTATTAACTAATAAAAAAATAGCCTATCACGTACGTACAATGTGTCTGAGCGCTAGCCAATAGGAGCGCTATCATTACATGGTGATGTCACTGTGTTTACCGGAAGTAAACAGTTCAATGGAGGGCGTTTAAAAAATACTCAAAAAGCATAATAGGGCCTCTTTAAATATATTTTTGAATGTTCTGTGTGTTGGTGTCGAGTGTTCCGTAGTGATGTCACAGTGTTCGTAGTGATGTCACAGTGTTCCGTAGTGATGTCACAGTGTTCCGTAGTGATGTCACCGTGTTCCGTAGTGATGTCACAGTGTTCCGTAGTGATGTCACAGTGTTCGTAGTGATGTCACCGTGTTCAGTAGTGATGTCACAGTGTTCCGTAGTGATGTCACAGTGTTCCGTAGTGATGTCACAGTGTTCCGTAGTGATGTCACAGTGTTCGTAGTGATGTCACAATGTTCGTAGTGATGTCACAGTGTTCGTAGTGATGTCACAGTGTTCGTAGTGATGTCACAGTGTTTGTAGTGATGTCACAGTGTTCCGTAGTGATGTCACAGTGTTCGTAGTGATGTCACAGTGTTCCGTAGTGATGTCACAGTGTTCGTAGTGATGTCACCGTGCTCAGTAGTGATGTTACAGTGTTCCGTAGTGATGTCACAGTGTTCCGTAGTGATGTCACAGTGTTCCGTAGTGATGTTACAGTGTTCGTAGTGATGTCACAGTGTTCCGTAGTGATGTCACAGTGTTCCGTAGTGATGTCACAGTGTTCGTAGCAGTGTTGGGCAAGTTTCTTCCAAAATGTAATACAGTACATATTACTTATTACCGTCTTTTTTAAGTAATAAGTTACATTACAATATTACTCTCTCTGAAATGTAATGAGTTACATTACAATATTACTCTCTCTGAAATGTAATGAGTTACATTACAATATTACTCTCTCTGAAATGTAATGAGTTACATTACAATATTACTCTCTCTGAAATGTAATGAGTTACATTACAATATTACTCTCTCTGAAATGTAATGAGTTACACTACTTTTGAGTTACTTTCACCAAAAGAACCGCAAAATAATGGCTAGGTATTTTAAATGCTAAAATGTAGTTTAGTGCAGCAACTGTGTATGCCCTTAAGGCTACTAAAAACTTGTATTACAAGGCTTAGTTGAATACTCGATTCTGATTGGTCAATTCCGTTGCTAAGGAGGATCAAGAAAGAGAAAGTAAAAGACGGAGGAACGGAGTTTTTAATTTTCTTAGCGGAAACAATACGATCATTTTAAGTCAATAAAATCATTTCAATTAATATTGGGAGTCGATTCCTTGGTTTGTTCAGTATCTGGCCGTGTGATAAGCGGGGGAATGTGCAGCGACTTGGTCATTATGGGGAAAGAGCACCCTTCAGGCTCATCAAGATCAGCCTGACTGATTACGTAAACACCAGGCTTACTAATCTACCGGCACAATTTTTCTCTGGTGTCGGAATGTCTCGTGATGTTTGTAAATTCTTAAAAATCAAAACACCATTTTCATTTCGGGTTAAAACTGCGTTACTGAGAATTGTAACGGGTAGTATATTACCCAAATGTCATTAGTAATGCGTTACATTACTTCGTTGCAGCAAAAATACATTACTGTAACTCCGTTAACACTGTTGGTGATGTCACAGTGTTCCGTAGTGATGTCACAGTGTTCCGTAGTGATGTCAGTGTTGGGTAGTGATGTCACAGTGTTGGGTAGTGATGTCACAGTGTTCCGTAGTGATGTCACAGTGTTCCGTAGTGATGTCACAGTGTTCTGTAGTGATGTCAGTGTTGGGTAGTGATGTCACAGTGTTGGGTAGTGATGTCACAGTGTTCCGTAGTGATGTCACAGTGTTCCGTAGTGATGTCACAGTGTTCCGTAGTGATGTCACAGTGTTGGTAGTGATGTCACAGTGTTGGGTAGTGATGTCACAGTGTTCCGTAGTGATGTCACAGTGTTCCGTAGTGATGTCACAGTGTTGGGTAGTGATGTCACAGTGTTCCGTAGTGATGTCACAGTGTTCCGTAGTGATGTCACAGTGTTCCGTAGTGATGTCACAGTGTTCCGTAGTGATGTCACAGTGTTCCGTAGTGATGTCACAGTGTTCCGTAGTGATGTCACAGTGTTCCGTAGTGATGTCAGTGATGTTCCGGAATGGAAGAATTCCTCTATATATTTTTTCCAGTTTTTCTGTCCCTGGATTCAGTTTTTCTGTGTTTTCTCTCTCGTTTCCTCCTCAGGGTTTTAAGGACATTCATCTGGAGCGCTTCATGCATGGCTTGAACCATTAACAAATTCTAAAATTTAAAAATATTATATTGAAAGTAATACAATTCTTAATTAAACAAAAAAAACAAATTACCCTGTAAAAAAAACATGAAATGACCTTGTTTTAGTTTAAAATGGTGCATAAACACAGGAATTAGGTCTAGGTTGATATAAAGGAAAGGATAAAAGCGTACTGGGGGCTTTTTAAACATAATGTTCTGGAATTGAAGAAGTTATTTGATTTGTTTCCAGTTTTTCTGTCCCTGGATTCAGTTTCTCTCTCTTTTCTCTCCTCAGGGTTTTAAGGACATTAATCTGGAGCGTTTTATGCACGGCGGAGCGAACGTGACGGGCTTCCAGCTGGTGGACTTCAGTAACCCCATGGTCATAAAGCTGATGCAGCGCTGGAACAAACTGGACCAGAGGGAGTACCCCGGCTCCGACGCCCCCCCCAAGGTATGTCTAACAGGTAATGCACTTTGTCTGTTTTTTGGAAGGGGGTTTTGGGGTATTTTAGGGATTAGCATTAGGGCCGATTCAATGATTGGTTTTGGTGTATAATGGTGCATAAACACAGGAATGAATTTGATATAAAGGAGCAACTATCAAACTTTGTGTGAAACCATTATCCAGTTCTTAAAGCAAAAATAATATATGCAAAATAATACAATTCTGAAGAAAAGGACAAATATAATAAAGTGCTTAATGGTACATAAACACAGGGATGAGGTCTAGGTTGATACAAAGGAATACAGCATAATAGGACCTTTTTAAACAAGCAGCTCTTGCATGGTACATTATATTCAAACCGAGTGCAACTATGACTTGATATTAGATGATAAGATCAGCGGACTTCACAGTGCAACAACGTAAAGTATGCATTCAAAGAAAGGTGCATAGTCGTGGGAATTACTGCACATGCTTTCCGTGCTTTAATAATTCCTCTGAGGTGACTGGAGTTGTTGCAACGGCGAGAAAACAGCGGATGCAGCAAAGAAAAGATAACAGCAGGAACAGAACAGTGTCAGATAAGATGAATATAATAATGTGCAAGGTGAGCACACGACACGCTGATACAGAACTGCATTAAAAACTGTCTTAATGCACAAAATAATAAATAGCAAACTGTGATAAAACGTGTGCACACAGCAGCAATCTGCTCCATCTCGTCCAACGCTTTCTTACAGCACAGATGTGACAGATTGACCCACATTGTTCTCCTGCACACGGATTTAAAACGCCACGGTGGTCAGAAAAGCCTCGGAGCAGATCTGTGTCCAACTAAGATTTCTATTTTAAAATCCAGAAGCAGTGGAGTGGAAACGTGTGTGTAGTGTGCCGTGTGTGTGATGGATTCAGGGGGTTCAAATTAAAAGTTTACACCACAGGGCGATATCACATGACTGTGTGTCTGTGTGTGTGTGTGTGTGTGTGTGTGTGTGTGTGTGTGTGTGTGTGTGTGTGTGTGTGTGTGTAACCCCACTCCATTTCTTGATAAATTGCTCTCTCTCTCACTCCTGGAAAATCCACTCAGACTAAATTACTCGGCTCCCCCATTAAGTTTGTCCACAGCGCGGTTTCTTTCTCCTGATATATTAGCAGCAGCGGTGAGTTTGGGCTTTCCCCCGGCAGCTCTCACTTTGTGAAGACAAATGCAATGCCTGCTGTTTGAAAGTAACAGGAATCAGCAGGTAGTGAGCTAATGGGAGATTCCTGTGCTGCATGAACACAACACGCTTATAAACTCTTTCCACCTGTGGTTTCACAAAAATGATCTTTCTATTCAGCTTATGCTTCATCTGCTCTAAGGCGTTTCCATAGGGCCTTATTTTGTGTTGGTTCTTCCTGTTAGAGCGTAATTGCTATTACATTGCATAGCGTTACCGTCTTTATCAACCTTTAACTGCCAGATAAACAGCTTTTAAGCTTTTAATAAGCTATTATTAAATAATAACACTTTAAAAGGAAATAAACTAACCATTTAGATTACCAATATGTGATTAGTTTATCCAAACAGCACATAGTTGGGAATTTACAGCCATGTTTGAGACTTGAGTCTGTGAAAGAAGCCCATTTTCATGTCAATGTTTTTATACTTGCTCTCACTGTGCTCAACCGTAGACACAGGTCCTCACTGCAAGAAATCAAATACTAATTCAAATTTAAATTCAAGAGAGCCAGTAGTTTTGCCATAGCTAGTGTTAACTGTGATGGTTATTTTCGCGTCCAGGAAAGAGAAGCTTAAAAAGGAGACTAAATGGAGTCTCTGAGATGTTTTCAAATTGGTACTTTAATTAATAAAAAGCGTGGTAAAGTCACAAACAGGATATTGTCCGACAGAAAAGCAGCTGCCTCTGGCCCTCGCTAGCAGAGAAAAGAGGCCGAACCCCTCAGGTTTCGTTGTTTATATAGCCTCTCCTGGCTCCTCCCTGGGGGCCGGCTCTCCGACTATTTAATGTCCGTTGTTACACATATCACAGTATACAGACATTGTACATTCAATATATATCTAAACACTCCTTTTCTCCTCCTTAACTTTTTCATGACTTTCCATTCAACACATTCCAAACGCTGTAATCAACACTCCAAAAAAATACAGGAAATCCTTCACAGCAATTCGATTTCCGGTCGCTCCGAATGTTGTGACATGCTACCCACATCTGTAAACGATAACGTACTCAAATAAACTGTACCTTCATTTAATATCCAACAATAATAATATCTCGACGTCTATAGTTGTAGTGTTGAAATCAGTAGGTTTCGGTGTGCAACATCATATCGCTGCTAAATTCACCTCTATAGGAAATGGTATATTAGCCTCATGCTAAATGCTAACCGGAGGTGAAGGATTTTCAGAATAAAAGTCTAACTGGTTGTGCACAAGAACTTCTGGTTTTTTAGTATAAAACAGCATTTAAACTAAAGGTACATTTAAGGTACATTATGCCATCAAAACATTGATTTGAATTTCTAACACTAGATAGTCAAAAGTATCCAGCTAGCTTGATAGATAGGTAGCTAACTCAAGATAGATAACTAGTTAGATTTAAATCGAACATAATCTAGCTTGAAAAGTAGATAGCTGACTTCCGATAGCAAGCATGTTAGGTAGAAAGCTAATGTAAGCTAGCCAGCTTCTTAGATAGCTAATGTTTGCTAGTTAGCTTGTAAAATACATTTCTAACGTTCTTTAGCTAGCTAGATAGCTAACGTTAGCTAAATAGCATCAGTGCTGTCTGACCAATATTTTTGCATTTACACCTGGCATTTCTTTGTGGTTTTACACTTTTGTTTAGTTTTTAAATAAGGCAGGAAACTTACCATTTCAGATTACCAATGTATGATTAGTTCATCCAAATAACACATATTTGGGAATGTAAAGCCATGTTTAAGACTTAAGAAGCTGTGTGAAAGAAGCCAGTTGTCTTAAAAACAATGTTTTACTGCCTGAACAGTAGACACAGGTCTTCATATGCATCCATCCATCTTCTCCCGCTTATCCGTGGTCGGGTCGCGGGGGTAGCAGTTCATAGTTCTTCATATGCAATCAAATAATAATTCAAATTTAAATTACGAGAGCCATAACTAGCTAGATAGCCAATATTATCCAGCTAGCTTGTTATAAGATAGATAACTCGTTAGATTTAAATCGAATGTAATCTAGCTTGTAAAGTAGATAGCTAACTTTCGATAGCATGCATGTTAGGTAGAAAGGCTTACGTGACCTAGCCAGCTTTCACATTGCTAATATTCACTAGTTAGCTTGTAAAATATATTGCTAACGTTCTGTAGTTAGGTAGATAGCTAACGTTCGCTAGCTAAATAGCCGATCAAGATTTTAGCATTTATTTATACCTGGTATTTTTACTCTTTTTGTTGTTGTTTTACATATTTGTTTAATTTTTAAATGGCTGTAAAGTCTGGCTTTCGTCATCTGACTAAACACGGAAAGAATCAATCAAAGAGACACTCATTACTTAATAATCCCTCACGTCTGTATTAGCAGTGTGTATTCAGTCCTGACTTGTATGAGTTTATTCTGCACCTCCAGTGTTTGTGTGTGTTTCTTTAGGCGTGCTTGTCAAACAGTAGCATGGGAATAGAGGGCAGCAGAGCGCCATAATGTCACAGTGAGCGGTCGGATAATGAATAGGATCCACCCCGAGCTGGAGGCAAAGTTAATGAACTCCTGCTAGCCGGGATAATTAATGCCAGACTTCTTCCCGTTCTGGACAAAACACTCGTCTTTCTCCCCATCTTCCTGCCTCTCTGGAGGTGAGCTTTAGGGAAATATGTCTCGTGACAGGTAGTGGGATTCGTCTTGATGCAAATAATCAAGGTCAAATAAAGATTGGGGGAGATTGAAAGTGAGTATGCCCTTTCCTTTTGCAGAAATAATGAGTGAAAGTGCTGCTCCTCTGCAACACGAGGCACTGCAGAAACTCAGCGTGAACTCACATTGTTTTAAGGGGATCTGACCGGCAGATATTGCAGAGCCTGTCCAGCTAAATCAACATTTAATTGGCCTCATACATTTTTCTTAGTGTGTGTGTGTTTATGTACGTGCGTGCGTGCGTGAGTGCGTGTTCTAATAGTGATACATATCGATATAAAGGAAGTGCGTTTGATTTGAAATCTTGCATATTGCAGCTGTGTCTTCATCTCAATTCACGCCCGCATTAACCGGACGTCCAGTAGGATTTTCCAGCAGATGTCAGCTTTCAAAATCAGTTTTTATCAGCAAGACGAAGCTCTTTGTGTGAGGTATTAAATATTAAGTTTGTGTTGTCTTTACCACAGTGTCCGCGGCTCATGCTGTGTGTGTCCAGCTGTTGTTGTGTGTGTGTGTGTGTGTGTGTGTGTGTGTGTGTGTGTGTGTGTGTGTGTGTGTGTGTGTGTGTGTGTGTGTGTGTGTGTGTGTGTGTGTGTGTGTGTGTGTGTGTGTGTGTCTGTTAGTATTGATCTCTTGTCTCTTCCTCTCACCGCTCTGCAGCCATATTGTTCTCCACTGTCTGACTGTCAGGGAATTAGCTCGTCTCTGACATATGTGTGTTTTCTCAACTTGTGTGTGTGTGTGTGTGTGTGTGTGTGTGTGTGTGTGTGTGTGTGTCAGCATTGTATATACACCAAAACAGACTGAACAGCAAGGGAGCTAAAGACTGTAATTTACAAAATCACGTGGTGCTGGGGTTTTGTTTCCACTTAAATAAATCCAATAAGCCTGTGTGGATGAACGCTGTTGGGAGGGTTACTTTAAAAATGTCATCTGTTACAATAACTAGCTACATGTCAGGAGTGTAATCAGTAATAAATATGAGTATAAAATATGAAAGTAACCTGATTACTCTCCGTTAGTTTTGGATTACCTCATTATCAAATATGATGCAAAATAAAAACAAGAGATAATAAACAACAATAAGATGTTTTTGACTTAAGTGAACGTAACAGTATAACCATAGAACATAAGAAACCAATATCTTTGATATAAAAATGTAGTAATCGATTACAGTTTTTCTTTGTATCCTGATGAGAGAGAGAGAGAGAGAGAGAGAGAGAGAGAGAGAGAGAGTATATATATATATATATATATATAGAGATATATATAGAGATATATATATATATATATAGAGATATATATATATATATATAGAGATATATCTAGTCTGCGATCTATATCTCTATTCTCTCAGCTATCTAGAGCTATATCTTAATCTATCCGAGAGATATATATATATATATATATATAGAGTAAAAAATGTAGTAACTTGTAATCTGTTACTCCCTGTTACAGTGTCCTTGTGATGTTCAGTTATTTTCTCTTCTTTGTTCCTCAGTACACGTCAGCGCTGACCTATGATGGGGTGATGGTGATGGCCGAGGCGTTCAGGAACCTCCGCCGGCACAAAGTAGATATTTCCAGACGGGGGAACGCTGGCGATTGTCTCGCTAACCCCGCCGCCCCGTGGAACCAAGGCATCGATATGGAGCGTACCCTCAAACAGGTGAGAGAGAGAGAGAGAGAGGCAAAAGGAAAGATTTCCTCATGATTTGAACTAAACTACTCCTAAAACAACAGACTGACGTTATATGCTGTCTGTTTAGCTTTAAAAAAACAAAACGTTAGATATTTCCTACAGTAGCATGCTTAGGCAGTGAGTTTACTTAAAAGTATTAATTCACAGCTTTTAACTGCAATGTGTTGAGTTGTAATCAATCAATCAAATTATTCAAGGGGCAGGCTTTAATACTTAACCAATTCCATCCTGTTTTAATTCCTGTAACATGACCGTTTTTCCAAATCCTGCTAAAAGACATTAAAAAGTCCTTTAATCCTAGATATATTCTTAAGGTGATAGTAGGGTGAATTTGTAATTTTCTCAATGTGACTGTACTTTAAATTATTGTCAGAGTCCATAAACACACCTAGATTTCTGGCTTTTCCCATTGTTTTTAACCGAATTAAGCTCAGCACTGACTTTATTCGTTCATTCTTGGCTCCAAAAACAATTACCTAAATGGTATCTTTGTCTAATTGAAGAAAGTTCTGGCACATCCAGTCATTGATTGGTTTAATGCACTTACTCAGTGCTTGTTATGTAAATGCATGTGTCGTCTGCATAGCTATGGTAACTTATTCTGATGTTTTCCATTATCTGAATCAGTTGTAGCAAGTAGATGTTAAAGAGAAGAGGCCCCAGGATAGAGCCTTGAGGAACCCCACATATCATTATTATCAACTCAGATGTGTAGATACCTACAGGAACAATGTTTTTCCTTTCCTTTAAGTAGGATTCAAAGGAGTCCCACACAGTTTTCCAGTAGATATAGTAATATGTTGTGGTCAATATGCACTGGTGTACTTTAGTGTAATTCATTCGAACAGTATCAGTCCAATCTATGTTTTCTTTCAAACAGAAAGAGCTCAACATCTCCTGAAATCCATTTTTGTTACCCCTTCCTTTATTTACATAACAAACATACTTATGTTAAGCCAAACCAAGACGTTTCTCTAATCTAACCAAGCACTTTTGTTTTTGTTTTGGTCCACTTTACCTCACAATAAACAGCTTAAATCAGAAGAAAATACGTAATTGAGGATGCAGTTATTACAGCTTTGTCTCCTAAGTAATTACATGTCCATACAACAAAATTGCATTGTCAATAATGCATTAAAGCCACAATTATTTTGTCCTGCCACCTTTGATTGCCCCGTTTATATGTTTTGTGCATGGAGCAACACGTCTAAGTGTAATTATCCCTGTACACTGGATGCGTAAAAGCCCATTATTGAGTTTAGTTTACCTTTAATATAATAATAATAATAATAATTGGGAGGGATGGGCACCACGGCAGGGCAGGAGGTGAACTGGGACCTCTCCAAGTAGCAGTCCACACTCCATATTTAGGTCTGGTCGGGGGACTTGAACCGGCGACCCTGCAGCTCACAGTCCAAGCCCTTACTGACTGAGCCACTCAGTCATTAGTCACTGAGCCACCTGCGTTTTTGCAGAATCACTGTAGTTCGGTCTATCACTCTCAAACAGACTTGACATTTCTAGCTTTAAATATCATACCATCATATCATTATTTCCTGTTCTCCTTTTACAATACAATATAATACAAAGGGGCTTTATTGGCATGACCAAATTTTAAACATATTGCCAAAGCATTCAGCACAAGGCGTTATAACAGAACAAAACTAAAATCAACACTAAACGTATATGTCAACAATAGATGTGGCACAACAGCATAGCACAATGCAACATACTGTGTATGCCAACAACTCGTACTGAATGTCTTTTAACACTTTGTGAAAAGCTTGTTTGTTCCCCTTTGAAGGATGTGCTGCAGTATTTCCTTCACCCTTTCCATGCAGTAAATGAATACTGTTTGTTATTCCTGTGCTGTCCTCAGGTCCGGCTGCAGGGATTAACAGGTAATGTCCAGTTTGACCACTATGGCCGCAGGGTCAACTACACAATGGACGTGTTTGAGCTGAAGAATAATGGACCGCGACGGGTAAAGAACCACAACACACTGCCTACATTTCTGATATGGATTTATATGTGTCCAGTCTGTATATTTTAACATATGCAATATATTCCTTTTGCTGTTATGTGAAACGTTTGAAGGCTGGGGCGACAACTGAATATATAGGATGGATTCTGAGAGAGAGAGAGAGAGAGAGAGAGAGAGAGAGAGAGAGAGAGAGAGAGAGAGAGATAGAGAGAGAGATAGAGAGAGAGAGAGAGTAGATAGAGATAGAGAGATAGAGAGAGGTACGTAGTCATAGAGATCTGAGAGCGAGCTAGAGCTCTTCGCGCTAGAGCTCTCTCCTCGCCTCGCGCCTCTCTCTCTTGCGATCGCCGTGTCTCTGCTCTCTCTCTCGATAGTCGTCTCTCTTCTCTTCAAGATGAATATCATCTTCCCAGATGAACCATCAATCAGACGCTGCTTTGGCCTGTCTTGGCATAGCGAGGGTCCTGTCACAGTGTGTGTGTGTGTGTTCCCGTATTTTCCATGTTCCTCAATCATCCCAATGCCCCTACACACAGCTCTCCATTCCCGCCGGCTGCCCACCTTGTTAGTTGACTTATAGCGGCTTGTAGTTGCTGTCAAAGCTCTTTGTCTATTAAAATATCCATCACTTTGACACTGGATTGGTTTATAGAGTGGTGCAGAAATGAGTCCTAAAACCCAAATTGAGTCAGTATTTTAGCACTTCCTGTTAGCTTGTCTGGAGGTCAATGGTTTTCTGAACATGTTTTTGAATGTAAGCCTAAAATAAGGTCTGTGGTTAACACAAGCTGAAGAGATATTTGTCCTATGATATAAAACACGTCCTTAAATACCCAACTGGTGGATTTAAAAAAACTGTGGTTGCTAACAAGTGTCTAAATGAGACGACTAAATGTCATCACGGGCAACATTAGCCGCCTTTAGCTTAGCGGTGGTGATGTGAAGTCATGTGACCGTGCTGTAGTTCCTTTATAGCCCAACATTAGCCGCCTCTAGCTTAGCGGTGGTGACGTGAAGTCATGTGACCGTGCTGTAGTTCCTTTATAGCCCAACATTAGCCGCCTTTAGCTTAGCGGTGGTGACGTGAAGTCATGTGACCGTGCTGTAGTTCCTTTATAGCCCAACATTAGCCTCCTTTAGCTTAGCGGTGGTGACGTGAAGTCATGTGACCGTGCTGTAGTTCCTTTATAGCCCAACATTAGCCTCCTTTAGCTTAGCGGAGGTGACGTGAAGTCATGTGACCGTGCTGTAGTTCCTTTATAGCCCAACATTAGCCTCCTTTAGCTTAGCGGTGGTGACGTGAAGTCATGTGACCGTGCTGCAGTTCCTTTATAGCCCAACATTAGCCTCCTTTAGCTTAGCGGTGGAGACGTGAAGTCATATGACCGTGCTGTAGTTCCTTTATAGCCCAACATTAGCCTCCTTTAGTTTAGCGGTGGTGACGTGAAGTCATGTGACCGTGCTGTAGTTCCTTTATAGCCCAACATTAGCCTCCTTTAGCTTAGCGGTGGAGACGTGAAGTCATGTGACCGTGCTGCAGTTCCTTTATAGCCCAACATTAGCCTCCTTTAGCTTAGCGGTGGAGACGTGAAGTCATGTGACCGTGCTGTAGTTCCTTTATAGCCCAACATTAGCCTCCTTTAGCTTAGCGGTGGTGACGTGAAGTCATGTGACCGTGCTGCAGTTCCTTTATAGCCCAACATTAGCCTCCTTTAGCTTAGCGGTGGAGACGTGAAGTCATGTGACCGTGCTGTAGTTCCTTTATAGCCCAACATTAGCCTCCTTTAGCTTAGCGGTGGTGACGTGAAGTCATGTGACCGTGCTGTAGTTCCTTTATAGCCCAACATTAGCCTCCTTTAGCTTAGCGGTGGAGACGTGAAGTCATGTGACCGTGCTGTAGTTCCTTTATAACCCAACATTAGCTCTTTAATCTTTAATTATAAAGGAGTGTTAGTATGTAGAGATTATCCCGCTGAACAAACATTTAAGTATCATAAACGTTGAGGTTATTTACTGCCTAATCGGAAGTCCTATGGAAAAATCCCATTGTCTTTTCTGTCGAGGGAACCAGAGAGATTCTAACTTTAAAAAGACATCATCCCTGCACCACTTTATAAAAAAATCACATTTTGTCGTGCATGTAGCTGCTCTCTACAGACGGAGGATGCAAATGCTGTGACCGCGACATATCATGTCTGTCAGTTCCAGTCGGTCAGTTTGACCCTGAAGGACTGAAGACGACAGATCTGTCAGGAGAACATGAAATGGCTTTCGGAGAAAAGAAGCAGCACAACATTGGGCTTAAAATTGGAATATTGCATGAGAACGGGGGAATGAGTCAATGTTAAGACTTATTGTTTTAAAGTTGAATCACAGCTTGATGAATGCTTGATTTGAAATGACAACAACATGAGCATGAAAGTGCTATTTTGAAACCACTGTTTGAGAAAATAATGTTGAATCTACCTGCTGTGACCAAGGCTTTTATGTTTAACATTCTTTTCATTTTCAACACAATTCAAAGACCTTCACTGGAAACAGAACGTACCAAACACAGATGTATAATATGATATTGAATGGATTTTCAGTCAACATTAATTTGACAAACCATGCAATACAATAGGTCCAATTCAGGGAAAACATTACTGGATCTTCTCCAAGTTTAATCAAAATCAGGCCATAGATTTTCTTTAATCCTGCTAACAAATCATCAGGAACACATGTCATATTTTATGAAGAAATATTGACATTGATCAAGACTCATCATAGAATAAAACCACACATTTTGACACTTACTACTTTGATTGTAGTAAAAATACAAGACTCTTTTTGTGACACATATATATTTTTTTCTCATAAATGTTGGATTTTTCTTGACATACCACAACGTTAGCATCGAAGAGTTGCAGTAGAGAAATAAATAGTTCAGGTGTCAGAGAAGCAACAGCAATACGAGTGAAACACAGAATAGAACAGGTAAGAGTTCACACAGGGATAATGCAACAAATACATGTAAGATGCTAGACCATTTTGACTTACCAACACTTATAACGATATATCGACATAGAGCTTTTCCTCCATGTTCTTTGACATCAAAATGATGTCATGCAAAGAGCTCCATTTCTTGTTAACACATCAGGGATTGCATCAAAACAAGTTGTGCATGCTGCATTATACAATATGTTCGCATGCACACATGAACAACACACACACATACACAATCTAACGTCTTGATTTCCCTGTAGATCGGCTACTGGAACGATGCCGACAAACTGGTTCTGATCCAGGACTCTCCGCTGCATCCTAACGACACGTCTGGCATCGAAAACCGAACCGTTGTAGTGACCACCATCATGGTAAGAGACCGGCAAACAAAACACACACACACACACACACACACACACATGCAGACCTGTTCGTAGGAATATGTAACGCGAGGAGACTTTACGTAAGGGATAATATGCAGCGATTATCCCACTTATTACACAGCTGTGTACTAAATAAACCACCGACTTGACTCACAATATTGATTTAAAAATTCCCTTTAGTGTTTACTACCTGTCTGTCTTCTTCTGCTGTTCCCTTTAGTGTTTACTTCCTGTCTGTCTTCTTCTGCTGTTCCCTTTAGTGTTTACTTCCTGTCTGTCTTCTTCTGCTGTTCCCTTTAGTGTTTACTACCTGTCTGTCTTCTTCTGCTGTTCCCTTGAGTGTTTACTTCCTGTCTGTCTTCTTCTGCTGTTCCCTTTAGTGTTTACTTCCTGTCTGTCTTCTTCTGCTGTTCCCTTTAGTGTTTACTTCCTGTTTGTCTTATTCTGCTGTTCCCTTTAGTGTTTACTTCCTGTCTGTCTTCTTCTGCTGTTCCCTTTAGTGTTTACTTCCTGTCTGTCTTCTTCTGCTGTTCCCTTTAGTGTTTACTTCCTGTCTGTCTTCTTCTGCTGTTCCCTTTAGTGTTTACTTCCTGTCTGTCTTCTTCTGCTGTTCCCTTTATTGTTTACTTCCTGTCTGTCTTCTTCTGCTGTTCCTTTTAGTGTTTACTTCCTGTCTGTCTTCTTCTGCTGTTCCTTTTAGTGTTTACTTCCTGTCTGTCTTCTTCTGCTGTTCCCTTTAGTGTTTAATTCCTTTCTGTCTCCTTCTGCTGTTCCCTTTAGTGTTTACTTCCTGTCTGTCTTCTTCTGCTGTTCCCTTTAGTGTTTACTTCCTGTTTCATACTGCTGGTCCCTTTAGTGTTTACTTCCTGTCTGTCTTGTTCTGATGTTCCCTTTAGTGTTTACTTCCTGTCTGTCTTCTTCTGCTGTTCCCTTTAGTGTTTACTTCCTGTCTGTCTTCTTCTGTTCCCTTTAGTGTTTACTTCCTGTCTGTCTTCTTCTGCTGTTCCCTTTAGTGTTTACTTCCTGTCTGTCTTCTTCTGCTGTTCCCTTTAGTGTTTACTTCCTGTCTGTCTTCTTCTGCTGTTCCCTTTAGTGTTTACTTCCTGTTTTCTACTGCTGTTCCCTTTAGTGTTTACTTCCTGTCTGTCTTGTTCTGTTCCCTTTAGTGTTTACTTCCTGTCTGTCTTGTTCTGTTCCCTTTAGTGTTTACTTCCTGTCTGTCTTCTTCTGCTGTTCCCTTTAGTGTTTACTTCCTGGCTGTCTTGTTCTGCTGTTCCCTTTAGTGTTTACTTCCTGTCTGTCTTCTTCTGTTTCCTTTAGTGTTTACTTCCTGTCTGTCTTCTTCTGCCTGTTCCCTTTAGTGTTTACTTCCTGTCTGTCTTGTTCTGCTGTTCCCTTTAGTGTTTACTTCCTGTCTGTCTTCTTCTGCTGTTCCCTTTAGTGTTTACTTCCTGTCTGTCTTGTTCTGCTGTTCCCTTTAGTGTTTACTTCCTGTCTGTCTTCTTCTGCTGTTCCCTTTAGTGTTTACTTCCTGGCTGTCTTGTTCTGCTGTTCCCTTTAGTGTTTACTTCCTGTCTGTCTTCTTCTGTTCCCTTTAGTGTTTACTTCCTGTCTGTCTTCTTCTGCCTGTTCCCTTTAGTGTTTACTTCCTGTCTGTCTTCTTCTTCTGTTCCCTTTAGTGTTTACTTCCTGTCTGTCTTGTTCTGCTGTTCCCTTTAGTGTTTACTTCCTGGCTGTCTTGTTCTGCTGTTCCCTTTAGTGTTTACTTCCTTTCTGTCTTCTTCTGCTGTTCCCTTTAGTGTTTACTTCCTTTCTGTCTCCTTCTGCTGTTCCCTTTAGTGTTTACTTCCTCTCTGAAAATATATTGTAATTTATTTTTTTGGCCACAGCTGGTGTTAAATTGACCGGACTGATATGACTGCACATAGTCCCTTGATCCTCCTTAGCAACGGCCTGTTCTCCTTAGCAACAGTCTGCGAGCGAAAAATAGCAGAGCCCCAGAATGTCCAAATTGACCAATCAGCATTGAGCATTCAACTAAGCCGTGTAATAATACCTAGTAAATCTTATAAGCAGTATAAGCAGAGTCAAGATTTCAGTGGCTATACATCACACATCCTTCTTCTTAAATCTTTATTTACAACCTGACATAATATGGTGTTCACCGGCCTCTTGTAAAGTACCTCCGTTTTTAATGAGGTACTTTACAAGTATTACTTTGAATTTGCAAGTGTTCCTCTGTTACGCCTTTTCCTGATTAACCTTGAATTCCTAGGTAATTCTTATTTTGACGCAGCATTTTATCATTGATGCAAACATGCTATACTTTTACATTTTAAAAACAAAACTGCTTTGGGATTTAAGGCATGTTTCTTTGCTTGGATTTACTTGTACTGCCAGTAGAGGAATTAGTTTGTATTTTGAGCAAAGTTCATGTATGGTAGACCAATTTAAAAACCAAACAGTAAAATATTTTGTTTAGTTACCAGCCTTCAACTGGGAGCAATCCATAAGAAAATACCAATTATCCATCAATAGATGCCCCAATATACCAGAATTAAAGAGCAGCTACGATAGGGACATTTGTGTTTTGGATATCCCACATAACTCCTTGAACATCACATTGATTACATCCTAGGAAATATGCAAATATTTAATATAAGGCCCTTGTAGTGCTATGACTGACAAATGTGCAGGGGTTAAACATGCTTTGTGACAACATAATCAGAAAAGAGACTCTTAAAGAAATGGGCTTTTCTTGTTATAACCTCAATAGAAACTACTCCAGAATCAACTACCGTCACTTACATTCTCTTTTATCGCACCAATAAACATCTCGCTGAGCAGTCACACAGCTGCTGTTACTGCGGTCCCTATTGCACGGATAAAAGACTTCATAAAACACAGCTTCAGAATCAGAGCATTTTTACACATGACAGGAAATGAATGGTATTTGCATGGTCTATATGTGGCTGTAGCAGTGACTCTGACATGCAGGAAAACAGGCAGATTTTGAGCTGATTGCAGGAGGGAAGGAGGTGAAAATGGAGAGTCACAGCTCAGCACAATCCTCCCTCTTTTCAGCCCCTGATGAGGAACCCCATTTTAAGAAACTGAGCCCCAGTTGGACGCAAGCAGGATTTGAAAAGCCCCTTAATGGCAGTGATGGAAACAACAACCCCTCACCCCCCGCCCGAGCCAAAATGAAGCCCTAAAGACACGGGGCGAGAGGAGACACACTGCAACATTGTTAATGGAGAAAGTGAACGAGAAATGGAGCAACTCAGAGCCGTAATGGAGCTGCTCGAGAGGAAAATGAAATGGAGGGAGGAAGACACTGTCTTTTTTAAGGACGGTGCTCACGGATGGACACCCATTGAGGCTCTCTGACAGCACAGTATCTGTTCACTAAACCAGCTCCACTGCACCTGTTTGTGTGTGTTAGAGTCATGCATTGTCTGCTTGTGTGGCTTGAAACCCATTCAGATTTGAAGTATTTTTGCAAAGAAGCCTAGAATATTCACCTTATGACGCACCGGCCCTTTTACCACTTATGGTTCAAACGTAAAAGTGTCAGTTCTTCCAGTTTTTATTTGGGATCATTCACCGCTACAATTTAACTATGGAATTGTTTTACAGGACCACATCAAGCCTCTGTTAGTGGTTGTACTGTAGGATGACATGAAAATGGCCCAAAATCAGCCGGTCGTACTGCATAAAGCTCATGTGGACAATTTATATAAACTCTCACTGCCAGAAGGGGAGTGGAGAGACAAAGGTCCACAAGTTTTCAAAGCTGAATTCAATTCAGTCAGAGTGCTATTTAGCTAGCAAGTGTAGCTATCAAGCTAAACAATTTCCCAAATTGGGATCAATAAAGTACCATCTTACCTTATCTTATCTTAACTTGCGGATGTTAGCTATCTATCTAACAAGCTAGCTAGCTAACGTTTCTTATCTAATGAGTAAACTAGCTTGTGTTAGCTAACAAGCTGGCTAGTGAAAGTTAAGACTCTTATTTGAAAGCTAGCTCATGTGTGCTATCTATTTAACGGGCTATAGCGTACATTAGCTTTGTATAAGCTGGCTAGCCAATGTTTGTTAAAGCTAGCTACCGCCACATTAATATAATAAGTGATCTCTTTATGATTATCTTGCAGTGCAGAATTGTGTCGGCCCTTCTGGCCATGAGTAATTATAATAGCATCGTTGATTTTTTAAACCAATCGGCTGGTCTCATACAGCAGCAGCTCCAAACATGGCTGTAAATTGCCAAAGATATCACATGTTAGTAACCCAATACAAATTCATTCAAAAGCTTATAAACAGTTTATTTGGCAAGTCATAGTCGACAAGGTTGGTGATATGCAAAGTCATAGCAAGTACACATTAAACAGATGTACCAACACATTAAGGCAATGCTGAGCGCCTACAGCAGCATAAGGTGAATAAAGTGAGGTGGTAAATAAGTCTGCTGTAAATCTGTCCCTTTCTCTGACTAACTGCCCCAGCGTACAGTCCATTACACACTTCCTGTTAGCATTACAACAGCTTAGAAAGACTGATGCTCTCATAATCATCCCTGTTCATATCCATCACGCTTTATGCAGCATGGTATTACAGGAACATTACAGTTACGGCTGCCTTTCACGCTTTAAATGTTGGGGAGAGTCATGTTTGTTTAAACCTAATGAAGTGTCCCAGTGGTATATTGCAGCAGTCCTCCTTTCCGTGTTTTAGTATGAGTTATATAGGAGCAGTTAGCAAGCCTTATCGTAAAACCACTCTATCATCAGAGCGTAAAGGCAAACAGCTTCTGTCCAATTTAGAGTTTTTAAATACACATTTAAGCACAACGACTGATCTCGTGTAATTAACAATCAACTACAGAAGGGAAACAACAATGATCCTCCTTTCAGCCATCATTAAGACAAATTAACAATAGTTAATTAAGTTAATGATAGTTCATAACAAACAAACATCCTTTT